CCCTGCTCGGCGAGGGGCCTGCTTCTCCCTCTAACCCTCCTCGCTCTCATGTACTCTCTCTCTCTCTCTCATTCTCAGTCTCTCAAAATAAATAAATAAATCTTTAAAAAAAATAAGCTAGGCTTCATTAATGCAATACAAATACACTGATGTAGCACTGACTACATCGTACTACGTGACATAGTATGACTATAGAAATACATTGCAGCCCCCAGCTTGGGTCTAAATCAGCTCTGTGATTCTAAAAAAATGAAAAGCCCACCCCAATTTCAGCAGAAACTAAAAATGCTACCTCCCAAAGTGGTTGAGCAGTGCTGCCTTGCTAAGTTACCGGTTGCTAAGGTCACCCTTTATTGTTAAACCTTTTATTGTTAATGGCCTCTTTTCAGCCTTCATTCTAATTATCCTCATTATACAACTCCTAACACAGTTGACCATTTCCTCTTACTAACTATCCTCTTAGCTCCCCCCCTTTTTTTTAACCTTCCTCTGGTGTCCTACCCCTCTGAGCACTCTTTCCCTACTTCTTCCATTCAACCTTAAATGTCAGTGTTCTCTCAGTTTTTGTCTGAACTGCCTTCTTTTTCTAAACAAGAGACGTTCTCCCGGGGCAAGGGGGAGAACTGTAGAGTTCTAAATGTTTATGCCCAAATCTGTCTCATCCGAACATGCATTTTCTTTTGCAACTCTGAGGAACTCCCCCTTTCCTCCACCTGGCAAAAAACTCTGGCTTTAAGAACTAAAATGTCACCATCTCAGTGAAGCTTCCACCAGTTTTTCCAGTGTTAGAAATCGCTTTCAACTCTGCCATCTTATGAGAACCTCACAAAATAGCCAAGTGTCGTAATCTTTCTAGAAAAGATGACATTGAAGTTTGAAGAGATCAAGCAACTTGAACAAGGAAACATTACTACAAGTGGAAAACAGGAACTTAAACTGAAGTTGTCTCACTCCAGGTCCAATGCTCTTTCTAAAACACCATGATACTCTCAAAAGAAAGGAGATTCGGAAATTTAGTAGTTTTACTATTGTTAAGAAAAATTAGTTTCCTCTGCTTCTTTCTAGAAATTGTTTAAATTACTAAAATTATTCTTAATTACACATAGAGCCAAATTGGTTAAGATAAAAGAACTTCTTTAAGACAAAACAGGAAAATAATTTAGAAAAAAACTAAAAGCAATAAAAATTGACAATTGCAAAAGAAAGGAATACAAAGAAAAATAACTCTTTACTAAATGAAAAATCTGAAAATCCTGAAGCCAATAATCAAATACACAGTCTTGATTAACCAATAAATGATGCATAGGATCTGCTTTTCTAAAATGACGTACAACTCCCTAATTCTGGTTTTATTTAAAGGGAGAAAGGAACAAAGAAGGTTGATAAATAAGATTAAATTCAGAAAACAAAATCATCAATAATCCCATCATGAGGAAGTATTTAGGCATTCTTGAGATGGTCAGTGAAGGATCAAAGGACATAAAGCTTTAAGACAAGAGGCCAAAGAGCAGAAGCGAGGAAGAAGTCAGAGAGCTGGAAATCAACACTTTGCAGCCATTTTGGTTAAGAATGGTTCAGCAGAGGGATATCTGGGTGGCTCAGACAGTTAAAGGGCCGACTCTTGATTTCAGCTCAGGTCGTGATCTCAGGGTCCAGGGATCAAGCCCTGCATTGGGCCCTGAGCTCATCAGGGAGTCTGCTTGGGGATTCTCTCTCTCTCTCTTGCTCTCACCCTCTGCCCCTCCCCCTGCTCACACTCTCTCTCTCTCTGAAATAAATAAGTAAGTCTTAAAAAAAAAAAAAAGAAAAGAATGGTTCAGGAGATTCATCAGTGGTTGCTATATATCTAGGAGTTGATAAATTTAATACGGAGTAAGACATCTGCACGGCCTCAAAGTGTCCCCCATGGAATGATAACTGGGGAAAAAATCAAGGACAACACCTTAACAGAACACCTTTAGATGCAAGTCTGAGAAAGCCACATCACTGTGGTAGTAAACATAAATTATGAGGAAACACCAGCAAATTCAAAGTGATTAACATACTGTAAAATAACTGGCTTGTATTCTTCAAAGGTGCCACAGTAGTGAAAAACAAAGGTTAAGGGGGCACCTGAGTGGCTCAGTCACTTGAACACCCAACTCCTGATTTCAGCTCAGGTCAATCTCAGAGTCATGGAACTGAGCCCTGCATCAGGCTCCCTACTCAGTAGGGAGTCTGCTTCTCCCTCTACCACTACCCCCACTCATGCTCTCTTTCTCTCTCTAATAAATAAATATTTAAAAAAAACAAAGATTTCAGATTAAAGGAGATTAAAAGAGATATAACAACCATATCAAGTACATGATCATGGACTGGATGCTGTACTAGATGGGAAAAAAAAACGCTAAAAATAAATTATTTACTGGGACAAATGACAACACTGAATTAAAGACTACAAATTGTACTGATATTAAATTTCCTGAATATAATGGTACTGCAGTCATGTAAGAAAATATCAGTTCTTAAAAAATACAAACCAAGGTATTAAGAGGAAAAAGATATGATGTATAGAACCTATTCTCCAATGGGTCAGAAGACATAATACGAATGTGTATGTGTCTGTGAGTATATGGAGAAAGCAAGCAAGGTAGCAAAAAAATTTTTTAATTAATGAATGTGCAAGTAGTTCTTTGTACTATTCTTGCAATTTGGAAATCTGAAACTATCTCAAAGTCAACCATCAAAAATTAGAGCAGAGCTGGTGGATGAATGCATGGAGGGAGTCAAAAGGTCTAACTTCGTTATAAAACAAGTCATGGGATGCACTGTATAGCATGGTGACTACAGTCAATAACACCGTATTATATAGTTAAAAGTTGCTCAGAGTAAATCTTAAAAGTCCTCATCACAAAAAAAAAAAATAGTAACTAGGTATGGTGACAGATGTTAACTAGACTTATTGTGTTGATCATTTCTAAATATGTACAAATATCAAATCATTATATTATATACCTGAAACTAATATAATGTTACATGTCAAGTATACCTCAATTTAAAAAATGACAGCGGAGAAACAGGGTAAGCTTTTTCTTACATAGATTTTGTCATTTGTTTTTTTTAAAAAAGTCAAGAAATATGATTTTATAAAAGAATGTAAACTCAAGAGAGATTAAAAGACCACTTCCAGGTGTCTCCTTGCTCCTATACAGTCCCACTAGGTTGCAGTTCAATGTCCAAAATGTTTCTAATTCCTGGAAGCTTCCAGGTAACCTACTGTCTACAGCTGCTTTTCAAAGTTTTAAACTTTTAATGAGTTGTGTGCATTCTCTAATAAAAGCACCATAAATTTCATCAAGTAGTAAGTAGCATATCCAAGTGTTTGAGAAAATGGGCTTTCAGATTAGAATGTCTGTGTTCAAGTTCAGAGAGTGCAGTGTTGTAGCTTTGCGATCTTGGACAAGTTAACCACTTGTGCTCCAATCTCTTCATCTGCAAAGTAGAATCAGATAAGCATCTGGTAACAAGCCACTGACGTAGTGAGGAGAATTGAATGAGATAATAAATGTAAAATAGTGTGCACAAATGCACAAGCACTCCGTAAGTGTTAGCTATTTTTATTTTAAATCCAACCTGATTGGTCACCTCAACAGCACTGGTCTTAGTCAAAGCCATACATCTTTCTCCAAACCAGGCCCAAATCTGACAAAATAGGAAATCAGAAACTCCAAGAGGAAAACATCTTAGATGTTAACAAACCATAAAAGTAAATTAATTTTAAGTAAATCACATGCAAAACAGACTGAGGCAGACTTACAGGGTAATTCAGTAGCCGAACATTTTGCTAATACAAGTGTAAAGCTGCAACAAGCCTCCTATTAGAACAATCCATCATCTAAATGCACAGTATGAAAAATGAAATTAGTCATCTTACCTGAGAACAAGGGGGGGGGCAGAAAACTGTATTCCACATGCTGTCTATAAGATTTCAGCCAGCTTAATACAATCAAAATTTATCAACTACTAGCAACTTTGCAGAATGCCCGATCTTATTAGTAAAGCTTAAATTAAATTTTAATTATACTCTTCTAACACCTGCAAAGCCATCAGCACAGCTTTCACTTAATTTAGCATGAATCTAGTGACAGCCTATTATGTGACCGACCATAGTAATAATGAAACATTAAAAATAAGAAATGTAAAAATGATTACAATATAATATAAAGTTACCAGAATTCTGTAAGTTTAAAACCTCTCCCACCAAAAAGTTTGGGGAGGTTTGCTCTCCATTTTTCGATGGTACTTATTTTTACTTTTAAAAAACTATACACTGTTTAGTATTTGTTTTTAAAATTCACGTTATTAATTTGTAAAACTTTAGAATTTATTCACAGTCACACTCTAAATATTCTCTACTCAAATGCTTATTACTGTGTTTGGAATTGAGGTTTTTTTTCTCTGTAATGCAAAGGATATTAACCAAGAACATGAATGTTCGTATAAACGGTTTGTCCATTCATAAAGCGCCTAAAACACCTCCATGCTCCTACACTCCACGGTCAGGGAATAGTTTCCCATAAGCAACAATCACTCTAACGCGCCCTTTTAACTCCCCAAACACCTCCTCTCTCACCATAACACGCGCAATTCTCCAAGTTTGATCTAGGCAAATGTTAAATAAGCTAGAAGTGTTTCTTCACAACTGAGATTCCTGTGCCCCAGCCCAGACCAACCCAATCAGTCTTTACGAACGAGACCTGAACCTCTCCAAACAGTTCTTTTCTCACTAAAGTTTGAAAACTACGAGAGACCCCCCACCCACCCACCCCACTCTCTCCAACGACTCCCACCACTCCCAAAAAGACCCAACCCCATCCCCCAGGGGGAAACGTTACCGCCCGGCCCCGGAACGGTCCCAGGGCGACCTCACCCTTCTCCCGGGAGCCCAAGCCCGGTGCCTGCGCCTCCGGGGTCCCCAGCTCCTCAGTCCCGCCCCCACACCCCCAAACCTTTCTCCTCACTTCTTCAAATCGCTGCTAAAGAGGCCGAAGGCGCCGGAGGGGGAAATGGTTGAAGTCGCCTCCTGACCCAGTTCCGTCGCCTCCCCTCCTCCTGACTGCTCATTGTAAGCGAAGCTATTGCTGGACATTGCTGCGGTGCTGGCTAGGGTCCGGTTGGTCCGGCCGAGGGTTCTCTCTGAAGGGCTACAGTGCCGAGGACCAGGAACAAAACTACTTCTCGAGCTGAGGGGCGCGCGCAGGCGCTTCCGGACTCGTCACGGCTCCCTAAGCCGACCTGGCGGCCCACCCCCTGCGCATGCCCAGTGCTCAGGCTGACCGGAGCCCACCGTCGGCCTCTCCAGGGCCTGACTGGATTTCCCTTCTCCGGGTTTTTGAGGTGGCTGAGAGGCTCTGAGCCAGGCTTGCGGAAGGGAGGTCCTGAAGGAGCCGGGCCTCTCGGCTTTTAAAGTTTTTTTTGGAGAGAAATAACCCCTTGTGTCCGTTTTGATCCCTTAAGAAGCCTTCCCGAGCCGGACACTTTTATTTGACTCTTGCTGTAAACCAGTAGCATTCAGATTTCTTCTGAAATGCCGTTTAACACACCTGATCAAGTTTCCCAAATCCATGACGATCACTTTTCCTTTTGTGGGCCGGTTTGTACTCTTCTTACTCCAGCCCGTGTTGCCTTACTTTCACAACCGCCCCACGAAGCCCTCTCCCAGATCTCTCCACTTTAAGGAAACCTCTCCAGACTGTGCCTTTGGAGATCCACTGACAAGTGTTCATTCCTGTGAAAGCTTTGAATGAAAATCCAGGAGCCAGCGGTTCCCAGGAGCTAAAGGAGTTCTTCCCGCTGGCCTCTGGCTACCATAAATAAAATAGAGCCACATCAGGTGCCTGGAGTAGTGTCTCTTCTGGACATGTCTTTACTTATTTCTTTCTCGCTGTTTAGTACTTCCTAACATCTATTAGGGATGTTGCACTGAATGTTGCCTGGCCCCACAGCAGCACTAGGTAAAGCCTTTTTGCAGGCATAATTTCCCCCAGGCTGCCGGCTCAGAGAAATTTCAGAGTCTTCCCTATCTTTCCCTATTCTTTCCCCTTCTGGGCAGGCATTGAAACATCGAGACCCAGAGGCCAGAAACTGTCGTAAGTCCAGTGAAACACAAATTGGGGGCCCAGCCCCTGAGGAGGAGGGTGGAGCCTGTTCAAGGATCAACTCCTCAAAAGGCCATGCAGAAATTCATGAAATACCATTGCACCCCTGTTAAAATAACCAAAATCTGGAACACTGAAACACTAAATGTGATACAATAGGAACTCTCACTCATTACTGGTAGGAATGCAAAGTGGTACAGCCATTTGGAAGATAATTTGTCAGTTTCTTACAAAATTAAAGTTATTCCTAGCATACAATCCTGCAGTATCACCCCTTGGCATTTACCTAAAGGGGAAAAATATACCCACGCAAAAACTTGCACATGGATGTTTATAAAAGCATTATTCATAACTACCAAAACTTGAAAGCAACCAAAATGCCCTTCAGTAGATGAAAGAATAAGTAACCTGTGGTCCATCCAGACAATAATATTATTCAGTGCTAAAAAGAAAGGAGGTAACAAGCCATGAGAAGACATAGGGGAAACTTATGTGCACATTACTAGGTAAGAGAAGCAAATCTGAAAAGGCTACATACCAGATGATTCCAAACGTATAACATTTTGGAAAAAGCAAACTATGGAGACAGTGAAAACATCAGTGGTTGCCAGGGGTGGGAGAGGGAAGAGGAGAGATGAATAAACAGAGCAAGGAGGAATTTTCAGGGCAATGAAAATACCCTGTACCATGCCATTTTAATAGATACATGTCATTATACACTTGTCCACACCCAGAGAATGTACAACACCAAGAGTAAACCCAAATGTAAACTATGGACTTTGGGTGATAATGATGTGTCAGTGTAGGTTCATCAACGGTAACAAGTGTACCACTTTGGTGGAGGATGTTGATAATGGGGAAGGCTATGCCTGTGTGGGGGTAGGGAGTACATGGGAAATCTCTGTACTTTCCTCTCAGTTTTGCTGTGAACCTAAAAATGCTCAAAATAAAAAAACAAAGTCTTATTTTAACAAATGAAAATAAATTTTAAAAATAAAGGCTACACTGTTACTGTGTAAATACCCATGACCATGACTGAGTCTTTAGTTGGAGAGGAGGGAACATCCTCCCAACTTCATAGTCTGGGCAAAACTTGACAGGTTTTTATTTCAGCTGTTAACATACCCCTCCAGAGATGCAATGATGAGATTTGTTATACGTCAATATTGATGATATTGATCAATTTATGTAACTGTACCTATTGCTGATTATTCATGATGATGATAATCATAGATATACTTAATAGATGGCTTATTATGGACTAAGCACAGAAGAGCTTGAGGACACTTCCTGCCAAAAGATTCTAATACTGTATTCTAGAAATATAAAACTAGTAGCTACATAGTTTGAGATCTGTTTCCTGTCTCTTCAGAATTCAAAAACCTTTTATACAGTCATGAAGTTTTTGACAGAGGAAAAAGGTCATACTTCCAACCAGAAGAAACAACAGCTCTAACAGGACCAAAGGATTATCCTTTGATGCCTGTTACCAAGCCAAAACCAGATTTTCTGTTTTCTACCAGCATAAACAGTATTTCAGGATTATTGTTGAGCAGGCTATGTTTTTTTCAAAAATGATTTTTCCCCTAACATTTAACGAAATTTTTATTGAATTCTCTCATTTCAGTTCTATTCAACTAAATTCTCATGAAAATAGGTGTTAAGTTTGGTGCATATATTTTCAATCTTGTTTTCTAAGCATAGAAAAACAAACTATATATGTGTATGTATATTTTGCCAAATGTCAACTTCAACCATAATACGATTTTGTATCTTAATTTTTTCTAATATATTATGTATAATATATTAATGCATATATTAAAATGTATAATATATTAATGTTTATATTATAATGTATAATATATTAATATATATACATACACATTGTGTGTATACATAGTGTGTATATTTTCTCTTAATATATTGTGTATAATATATTTGTATCTTAATTTTTTCTCTTGATATATTATGGAAATCTTTCTACACTGATATATACAGTTACCTCATTGTTTTAAACAATAACATAATATTCATTTTATAAGCGTACCTTCATTTATTTAATCAGCAGCCTATACAACAACTTCGCCCATACATGTTATTTGCACAGTAGCATCAATATTTCCAGAAGTTAAGGGCACTGGGTGGCTGTCATTAAGCGTCTGCCTTCAGCTCAGGTCATAATCCCAGGGTCCTGGGATCGAGCCCCGCATCGGGCTCCCTGCTCGGCGGGAAGCCTGCTTCTCCCTCTCCCACTCCCTCTGCTTGTGTTCCCTCTCTCGCTGTGTCTCTCTCTGTCGAATAAATAAAATCTTTAAAAAAAATTTTTTTCCAGAAGTTAAGAATCTACAAGTCCATAGATCTCCAAGTTAGATTAAATGACATGCACACTTAAAATTTTAATAGATATTGCCAAATTTGTAGCCCCAAAAGAGCATACCAATTATCTGTTCCACTGTTATCCTTTGTTTTACTCTACCATTTCCAGCGATGAATATTATAAATTTTTTTAATGTTTGTTAATCTGATTGGCAAAAATAAATAAAACCCTCATTATTATTTAAACTTTCATTTCATTTATCATAAGCAGGGAGATGATATAATTTAGTGTCTCTTCAACACATGGTGCTAGGAAACTTCTAAGACTAAAACTTAGTAACTTGCCGGGGATTGGAGAGGGGAGAGGAGGGATGGATAAGCAGAGCGAGGAGGAATTTCTAAAGAAACTTCTAAGACTAAAGTGTGACACAAATCATAATTTTGCTGGAAGAGCACATATAAACCAGGACTTTTCCAGGGAAACATAGATATATGGTTGCCCTAGATGTGATGGAGTTAAAGCATATATTAAATGGCCATCCAAATTTTTCTTCTATTAATTATGCCGACTTGGTATTTGCTTATTTTTAAGTGGGTTATCCATCTTTTTGATTTATAGGAATATTATATTATTATAGATAGTGAATGTTAATCTTTTCTCATTATTTTCTAAGAGAGTCTAAGTTATAAAAATGGATTCCAAAAGTTGTAGAAAACCTGAATAGATTATCACATCTGTCAGAATGGCTAAAATAAAAAACTCGAGAAACAACAGGTGTTGGCAAGGATGTAGAGAAAATAGAAAAGGAACCCTCTTGCACTGCTAGTGGGAATGCAAACTGGTGCAGCCACTGTGGAAAGCAGTATAGAGGTTCCTCAAAAAATTAAAAATAGAGTTACTATATGATCCAGGAGTTCCTCTACTAGGTATTTACCCAAAGAAAACAAAAATACTAATTCAAAAAGGTATCTGCACTCCTATGTTTATAACAGCATTATCAACAATAGCCAAATTATGGAAATAACCCAAATGTCCATTGACTGATGAATGGATAGAGTAAGATTTGGTATATACATATATATACACATATATATATGAATATTACTCAGCCATAAAAAAGAATGACATCTTGCCTTTTGCGAAAACATGAATGAATCTACAGGGTATAATGCTAAGTGAAATAAATTAGTCAAAGAAAGACAAATATCATATGATTTTACTCATATGTAGAATTTAAGAAACAAAACAAATGAACAAAGACAAAAGAAAAAAACTAGACTCTTAATTGCAGAGAACACACTAGTGGTTGCCAGAGAGGGGGTAGGTGGGGGGATGGGTAAAATAGATCAAAGGAATTTTTAAAATGATCCTATTCCACAGTAGCAACAAATAAGGCTTAAGAAACAAGCCTTAAGAAGTGCATAAGACGTGGGCTCCTGGGTGGCTCAGTTGGTTAAGCGACTGCCTTCGGCTCAGGTCATGATCCTGGAGTCCCGGGATCGAGTCCCGCATCGGGCTCCCTGCTCAGCAGGGAGTCTGCTTCTCCCTCTGACTCTCTTCCCTCTCGTGCTCTCTCTCTATCTCATTCTCTCTCTCAAATAAATAAATAAAATGTATAAAAAAAATTTAAAAAAAAAAGAAGTGCATAAGACGTAAGTGAAGAATAACTATAAAATTTTATGGTTTAAATACAGGAGAGAGGGGAGACCTGGAAGGAGAATCTTTATGTCTGAATAGAAATATTCACATATTTAATGCACTTTCAATCAAAATTCAATTTTTTTTTTACTAGACAAATTGAATCTAAA